TACTCCTCGCTTGGAGTGCTGACTGATGAGACGAGAGGTCAGCACTGTTTCATTAGCTGCGGGTACGAATAGAGCCCCGAACGAAATATCGAAGTGCCCAAACATATTCACGTTTTGATGGCGTGGATTCAACCTGTTGGACTTCGGACAACGCCAATAGTCTGATCGTTCAAAAATGTGTACCGACCAGGGAAGTTAACTTAAGAGTGGTCCACGGGGAAGAGTAGCAGTGCTAGTATAAAATTAAAAACAGTTTTTTTTTTTTTTTTTTTTTTTTTTACGGATTGTTTTGTATTAGCAAAAAATGACCTTCATGACTCCTCCCGGATAGCAGATCTAAGGGACAAAACAAATGTGTCTAATATATATATATATATATACAAATGGTTACTCGTGTATTAGAGCAAATAAAATGGCCTCCGACGAATATGGTGAAGCAAACACGTGCAACGACCCCATAATAATAACCGACAGTTATTGCGTGCTTCTTTTTTGTGGTCGCCCTAGGAGAAAGTATATCCAGATCCGCAGTTGGATTGTGCACAATCATTGATATCTGTACTTATGATTTTTGGTTGATAGGTAGACAACAGCCCCGAAATCTTCAACGACAAAATGTACAGTTCTCTCACACTCCTGTGTAGAAGAAATCGCACATGGAAAGTTATCCGATTTCGCAGATTACCCTGACCCTGGCTAATTCCATTTAACAAGTTCCGCTGTTAAAAGGCTCGCCTCGCTCGGCAGCCAGCCCCCCCCCCCCCCCCCCCCCCCCCTTTCCCCTTTAAAAGGCGGCTGTTGGCGTAATTCGATAATAAAGAAAAAAAAAACAACAGCCACGATGGTCTGAATAGTGCCATCTCGCAGATGAAGATGTCTGTACGGGTGCATCCAAACAGGAAGTTCGTTAGTCACGAAAGGATGCTTAACGTCTATCATGTAAAGAGACGTGATTTGGCCAATGGTGTGAAAACTGTAGCCTGAATTGATGGATGGATACGGCTCAATCCTTGCGATCAGGCGCCAGTTAGTGCCGTCTAGAGCGCTCAGTTTTAACAGCTAACAGAAAAAAATATACATAAATACAGGTTCTTTCATTTATACTTCATTCAAGTCAAAGCGGAGTGAAAGGGTCACATACAACTTACAAGTACGAACAAACATACTAAAAGTGCAAGGTCACTGTGCATTTATTGCGCTTAATTGACTTAGCCAAAGATAACACACGCAAAGAAAAATGGCTAACGTCGTGACGCTGCATTTTTGTATCAGCTTGATTTGTCCGATGGAAGTTCTGGAAAGACGTCATCGTTACCCGGCTGTAAGTAGCCGAAAGCGAACGAAAAGGCTATTAAAAATTTGTGACCCCTGTGGTGGCCCATATATTTCGTTTCATCATAACTTAAGTCAAAGCACTGTCAGGACTCGTAGGTATACGACCAGGAACACACACTAAAATCGAAAATCAGAAGACACTCACTACTCTTCTCAAAACCCGAGCGTGCTGGCAAGATTCAATTTATACACGAAATGATAAACAAATAGGGCAGATCACAGAACACGACATCTTTCAAAATGTAGATATCGTGTTCGGTGTGTCCGTCCAATTTCTTTGTTCTATCGTGCGTAAATTGAGCACTGCTCTATGCTGTCTTAGACCATAGGTTCTCAAACTCGGTTCCTGGCAACCTAGGGGTTCTCGAGAGCATACCCTCGATGATTTCCCAAGCTCGAAGATTTCCTCAACCTTCCCTGCCCCTTGGTAAAGCGATTTTCTTGTCTTATTTTAGCGGATGAAACGCTCCCTCCACATTATTGTCGAAAAGGTTCCGAGCTTTCTTTTCTCTACCATACTACTACTGTCTACAGGGTTTGTAGGATCCTGCACCGTTTTATTGCATCAACGACGAGACCGAGACGGGCTCCTGAGCTGTCATTCGAGGCAGGGGCCGGATTTCCTCAAGGTCGAAAAGTTGGGAGCTCCTTAGCCGGGGTTCCAACACGCACAGAAAGCTGACGAACACCGAACACAATGACGTTGTACTTTTGACGCTGTTTGACTGGTCCAATCGGTACGTAGCATCGGCTACACTTGTGGTCATTTCTCCTTGTTCTTGCGCGAAATGCATTGCTTCAAAACGTACGCATCAGCAACAAGCTCACAGCAATGGCCACTGACGTGACGTCAAAGCAACTTGCAACCTGCAACTTTCGCTAGTTAGTGGTGTCGTCATCTGGCGTCCCCTAGATGGCCCCGATGATGGTGTCCAAGTTCGTTCGAAGCGCGGGCGGGATTCTCCCTACCGACACTGGCCCAAGTGGCTCGTAGGCGACAGCAATTTTCGACGAGGGTCTAGACACCGCCTGCCACGTTGGTCGCAGTCGCCCCGGCGTCTCCACCCGAAATCGTGCTGAATGTTCCAGCGTCACTTAAAGGAGGTCAACACAAAGCACGGGCTTGAGCACTAGTGCTAGCGTCATACCAGCACGTAGATGGCTCAACTATTATGGCGCATTCACACTGGAAGCGGATCCGAGTTCGCAAAACGGTCGCGAACGCGTTTGTATAAAGATCCAGTACAATTGCACGCGCATGTGATGACATCAAATACGCGTGCAATTGTGTTGAATCTTACTACAACCGCGTTCGCGACCGCTTTGTGGACGCGGATCCGCTTCCAGTGTGGATGTGCCATTAGGTAGTTTTCGTAGATCGTTTTTTTCCGTCCCGTAACGCCCTCCGCAATCCGCTATGATTCCTGGAGCTCTACAGTCAAGGCCATCGGCGAGCAGGCGCAGCAGCGGCTTTTTCGTCGCGGAGGGCTTAGCGGAGGCGAAAACGCGGTCTGCGAAAACTCCCAGCGTCTGCCGTCTGCCTTGTCGGTGGCAGACGCCCGACGCGGCTGCACCGCAGCCCAAAAAAGCGCGGTCAGGTCATCGCTGTTCCTGGTAGACATTACGAGTCACGGGGACGCCGGCACAGAGGGGAGGGGCCCCGGTCCCTCGGGCGAACCCAACCCCCCCGCGGCCAGCACCGGCCACGGCGGCGACGGCGGTCGTTTGTTGCCGCTGTGACGGCTCGGGGCGGTGCTGCATTGCCGCATTCCTGCCTTCCGCCGGGACCAGGAAGGGACCGGCGCAGCGGGCGGCAAGGCCGCGCGCGGGCTGCTGTCGCCGACGGCAGGCGCAGCCTTGCGGATTTTGCGAAGAGCCTTTAGTCACACATTTCGCACATCACACACCGTCTCCAGACTGCCTTTTGTGTCATGTAGTAGTGGTGTGGCCGCGGCCGTGTCTGCTTCGTCACACCCGCGCAATAATCCGACATGTCGCGTACACGCCTAATACACACCTGCTATACTTGTGTTCACCTAAAAAACATTAAAAAAAGCCTCGCACAGCCGGTTAACGAGCATAGATAAAAGGCTGTAGTTTGGGGATTTGCTACGTCATCTTTACCGTAGGCCGGGGCGGGACGCTCATTGGACAGGCACGTAATGGGCGTCGACGTTCGGCCGGGAGCCGTGGCCAGACCTGGCCTTTGGTAGGTGAAGTCACAACTTTCACGCTGCGGCCTTTGTTGCCTACGAAGCGTCGGTAAACTGAATGTCACGCCTTGACACCTCTGGAATTTCGCGCGCGCGCAGGTGTCGTCTCGAGCACCGCACTGCTGACGTGTGACGCTAGGAGTGTCTGAAGACGGCCGTCATTAGCCTCGAAGGCCACGCGTACAGCAGCGTTTGTCCACGTTTGACTATACCCGTTGTGGGGGATTACGTCAGACGCGACTACGAGTTACATTGGAAGACGGCCGACGAATGCCATACTAACTCGTTACCGTGTGTCGCCAGCAAACGCAGTAAAAAAAAAGGCAGCGCGCGAAGGTGTCCAATAAACTGAAGTAATGGTGACAAATGCTCATTGGTCGACACTGACATATGCTGGCGTCATTTAGAAAGTACCGAATTTTATTTTACTCGGCGTATGAATATGCCTGTATCCTGAGGACAGGTACAGTCAATTGGTGTCCTAAGCTGAATGAAATCTACTACTGGCACATTCGCCGTTCGTATTCCGCTTCGCTCGAAATGATTGAACATCTAAGGCACTCTTCAATACGAATGAGAACCCACTGCGCAGTCAAAGCACATTCCAAACCAGAGGCCATGGGTAGTCTCCGCTTCACTGCCTTTTCGAGCTGAAGTATTGTTTTCTCAGACTCGTTACTGGGGCGTGTCACTCTTACATTCCTTCTCACTTGGGTAATGTAATCGTACTTGCGAGATACTGTTAATTAAAAAGAAAAAGAGCAGTAGATAAAAGTGTGGGCATTTTCGAAACTGTCTTGTAATGCCTTTGATGGAGGAAGCGGGGAAAACAGTTGAATTGTGCTTCGTACACACCTATGCAAACACTTTTGAGAGGGGAGTGACATCTCCTTCATTCGCCGCGTCTTTCGGTACAGGTGTTTAAAACGAACGGCCTGAAGGGAAAGGGTGGGGGGTGGGGAGGGGAGGGAGCAAAACACACTGCAATCTATAAGATGTTGTCGGTGGGGCACTATTTCTCATCGAAGATTCTCAGATGATGTGTCCAGTTCATCCCCTCCTTTTCGTTGTACACATCCCCCTTTTTGTTTTGTAGCTGTTGTTAGTTTCAAACACAGATAAAACACCTACCTGCCAAAAAGTGGGAAAAAAAAGCGGCAAGTAAAAAGGTAAACACACATTTGGCAGGCGAACTGGGTCTGAGACGTGTCGCGCGTGTCTTCTAACTCTCCGAGTTGTGGACCTTCCCAGAAGGCGACATCGCGACCGTCTTCTGATCTGCCCCCAACTCCCAGACGGCCCGCAGAGAGGAAGCCGAGATTCCTCCTCGTAGTAGAGTCGCGCACAAGACGCGTGCGCGTGGCGGCCGTCATGGCGCCGTCGTCGGAGAAAGCCGCCAAGGAGCAGGGCCGCGCCGCCATGACACACGTCCCGAACCGTCCGCTCACTCACCTCCTTTGGGCTTCTTGTCGGGGAAGCAGAGCCTGAAGAGCCCCTGGTCCCGACTGAAGTACTCCGGCTTCGTCTCGTACGCCCGATACTCGTCGGTGTCCCTCTGTAGCTGCGTCCGGATGGCCGTCCTGTTCACCCGCGTCTCCAGCCAGTTATCCGTTCCGAACGAGATGGCCAGGCAGGCCAGGGCCAGAACGGCCGCGATCGTCGCCACGGACAGGGTCACCGCGGAACACGCCATCGTCGTCGCACTCTAGGAGGACGTGCCTCCGCCTCAAAACACGGCAGCACCAGAGCCACGGTAACCACAAGGTACCTCGAAGACGGACGTCGGCCACAGAATGCCGCGGGGTTGGCGGACGCCTTTTTTCCGCCGTCGAGCCGAGTGAGCCGCGAGGGGAACTGGGGGGAGGGTAGGCCGACCTGTTGCGGTGCTTTAGTTGGAAGCTCCACAGGTAGGTATGGGGCGAGAGAGCCTCTGGAGAGGAACGGCAGCAAGCTGCAAGCGCGGTCGGTCGCTTCGGGGCTCCGCCTGGGATGTCGGAACCAGGCCGTCCCACCTGGCCAGTCTCGCTGTAAGGTGTGCGTCGCGAAGGGCGCCAGTCCAGGTACTCACGCAAGTGGAGCGCGCCTCTGAGCTGCGCGCGCGCGCTTTCTTTCCTCGAAGGAGAGTGGCACGGAGAGGGAGGATGGTACTTCGCGAGGCAGCAGAGGTGCGCTGCCGCTTCGAGATGCCTTCTTTTTTGGGGCTCCCTTCTTCGACGACCCAGAGACGAGTAAAAGAAAAAAACGACGGGCTATGGACAAACCGACATTTATTTCAGACCTAGTATCTTACACGGCGGCGGCGCGGGAGGAGATGCATCGTGGTCGACCTCACGCAGACTGCACGATGCTTCGGTAATGGTGGTCGGCCCAGATCCGCTCAAAGTTGCACGGCTCGAACTCTGCAGAAGATGGAACAATACAAGGCCGTCGGTGAGCGCCGAGAATGGCCGACCACGGGTCCGAGCTCGACTCACCTGGAGTGTTGACGGTAGCTGGTCGTTGGTACACCACTCGGGCTGGAACAGACGGTGCACATTTTTGTTCACCATTGTACAGACGTCGTTTCTGAGCATGACGCTGGACTATTATGGCCCCTCATATAACCGCTTTAACTTATATAATAAGCAATTAATATTATTATGTCCACACCGGCCGTAACAAGTGTGTACCGGCAAACAGGCACGTAGCCAGGATTTTGTTTCGGGGGGGGGGGGGGGGGGGGCGCCCATGACAAAATGCTGTATGAGGGGGAGGGGGGAGAGGAGGCCCCAGCAAAATCGAAGATTTCGGGGGGGGGGGGGGGGGGGCGGGCCCCATGGGCCGCCCCCCTGGCTACGCCGTGCCTGCCGGTAAGCCCAAGCCGTTACTCTACTCTTCACGCAGACATAGCGAACGCACTCAAATGATAATAATACTAATAGTCATAGCCATTCGTATTCAAGAACATTCATGAAGGTACACAAGAGTGCGGGGGCAATCAAAGCCAATAATGGCTTTGTGACGCCGCTCATCTAAAAGTTATGAAGACAAATATGGAAGAATGTCCGAGGACAAAAGAGGTAACTGCCGTACAGACAAATCTGCAAAAGCGAGGTTGAAAACAAATAATAATAATAATCTTTATTCGCACCTAGAATATAAAGATTTACCTAAGCAACTGAAGGACCTGGGAAACTGGGAGAGTCCCAATATATAGTACAACACAAAACAATGAAAGTATGTTTACACAGCTGCAAGTTACTCAGCCTCAATGGGCGTCTGGTGTCTCAGCTGTAGATGAGAAATTTATCCAGTATCTTAACCACACCGCCACTTCGGGGGCAGGGGTGGGAATTGAATCCAGGTATCCCGGGTTCTGCAGCGCGAGCTTTCACTCCACGTGCTCCGAGCTGGTGTGCGCCAGCCCACTCGGCTATCGATCCCCGCCCCCCCCCCCCCCCCAAAAAAAAAAAAAGAAAAACAAAAAGAAGATATTTTATAAATATTTTGACAACGTGCTAAACGCAATCAAGCAGCAGCCTATATACCTACCACAAATACAGCCCCCTCTCCCTTTCTACCCAGCCTATGGCGCAATTTCAAGAATAATCTGCAAGTTCACTCACTGCAACAGCCGAACGCTCGTCTCCAATCTGCGCCCTGCGCTGGCCTCCGACAGGCGACACAGAAAATCGACCACCCTTTGTTACCCCGTTTCATGTCTATTGTCTGCTGTATCAACATAATATTCTTCGAAGGATGTCGTTGCTTTCGTTTACCTAGGGGCTTTGCGTCGAACCTCTCGGCAAACTGTAGGTGCCCCTCACTCTCCCCGCGTTTCAAATAGCGGGGAACACCATTCCCGCCTGCAGCGTACGCTCACCTGCGTTCTGGTGCCGGCCACCGTTGCGGGCGTGCTCGTACTCCCGGCAGACGGCTGTCCAAGCTGCGCACAGACAACAACCCAAAATGTCAAAACTCCCGACAAACACGCCTTAAAACTGCCTCCCCTCTCCTTCCTCCCGAATAGTTCCAACGTCTCTGGTCGCAGGCGTCCGTAGCGCGCGCACACTGCCAACACCGGAAGGGCGGACATCCGTTGTTTTGCCGGAACATAGCCGTTCCGTGATCTACTTGCGTTTGCTTAGGACACGAAGGCCCGTTCACACAGTTGCGATGGACTACGACCGACGGGGACAAAACCGGGTTTTAAGCCTCTCGCGACGGCTCGTACGAACGGATGCGTGCTGCTGCGGAGCCGGTCTCAAGACGTCACAATTAGAGGCTTAAAAATCCGGTGTTGTCTCAGTCAAGCGCAAGTGTGTGGATGGGGGATGGTCACCCGTTCACCTATCCAGAGCCGTTTATACTGCGAGTCTGGCCTTTTTAAGGAGAATTTGACAGCCTGGCAACTACAGCAGCGTAGTCTGACAAACGGGGGGATGACGACTTCCGTCCGCCATTTTGTGGCTCTGACTCACAGGAACTCTATGCGATTTCCCAAGAATAAACGAGAGAAGTAAAGCCACTGTGTTATCGCAAAATCCCCTGGTTCTAGCGGGCAACAAGCTCCACCCATTGGCCACACCCTCTCAGTATAAACGGCTCTGCATGCACCTATCTATCTATAAAGTTACCAGCACTGCATTTGACTAGAGCGAAGGTTCTGCGGTGTTTGCGAGCTCAAATGTACGTACTCTACGAAAAACCGTGAATAAACTGCGGTGCCACTGAATATTGTTTGCGTAAAAACTTCACCGTAACACTGTTGGCTTAGTACAGGAGGCAGCTTTAGCATGGCGTTGGCGTGCGGAGCGGCATTACTATCGGAAGCTCGCGCTGCCTTCAGAGCATGCTCTGCTGCGCGCGCAAGGAGCGTTGCCATGCATGCCCATGGTATATAGCCTGCGGTATAACTCTATGCTAAAACTGCCTAGTTCCCGTAACACCGTTCCCGAAATTCCGTTGCTGTAACTGGGGAGTTTGGGAACAACGTACGCAATTTCAGAGCACGCTAGCGCTAAATTTAGCGCTTGCGTTAGCGCACGCTACGCGAGAGAGCTTTAGAATATACGTTCCTCCGCCGCGACGCGAAAGTCCAAGCACCTCTCGCTTGCAACGCCATTAAGACACCGTCACAATTTTTCTTTCATACACCAAATGCCGTAACTTGAGAAAAAGCAAGTTTTTTTGGCCCAGAGTAACATTTTACATTTGTTTAAACGTGAGAATGCGACGCGAGCGGTCGACCGGTCGTGTCCGCTTGCGTCGCCTCGGCCAGAGAGGTCTCGTGTACTGACCTTCGCACACCGTACCTTCACCGAGAGATGTTCGCGCGTCGCTTGGCATCAAGTTGCCGCTGACCGTTGCCCACCTCACTCGGTTTTCCAAACCCAGTGCAATGTCGCGAGGAAGCCGCCGACGTCGCCTTCAAAGCGGCCGCAGCCATGGTTTCGGGACTCGGGAGGCGCCATTTTTTTTAACTGTGCTCGTCTCGGCTTTGGCCAGCTTCTCATCACGAGTCCTCCTTGGAGGAGCGCAAAGACCCTTTGCGTGCGCACGCAATTTCCGAAAAATTGCGTACGCTAAAATAGCGCAAGAAAGCGCGAACCGCAGTTATAGCGATCGGCGCATGCGCAGCGGTGACGATGCTATTTTTGCGTACGCAAAGCTTTAGCGTGCGCTGCTCTAAAACTGCCCACTAATTACCGTAACATCCTTACCTAAAACCGTGGCTGTAATTCGTCACCGTATCGTTGCCGAACTTCCGTGACCGCAAAAACCGTTGCCGAAATACCGCTGCCGTAATTTCGTTACCCTAACACCGCTATCGTAACACCGTTAGGGCAATACCGTTACCGTAATCCTGTTACCGCAATACGGTCACCGTAATTCCGTTGCCGTAATACCGGTGCCGCAATACCGCTGCTGTAATTCCGTTACCGTAACACAGCTATCGTAACACCGTTAGGGCAATAATACCATTACCGCAATACGGTCACCGTAATTCCGTTACCGTAATACCGTTGCCGAAATACCGCAACCAAGTAGGCAACGTATACGGCGAACAAACCGCGGCTCAACACGGTATACCAAAAAAAAAAAAAAAAAAACCCTTTTACTTGGAGGATGTTTTAACGTAAACACACTGCCACGCTCGACCTTATCATCGCAGTTAGATAACGCAATTAGTTCAAATGGTTTCATGAATGGGATCCAGCCACCCTCTTAAAGAAATATTTCCTCCTCAAGTGCCCCTTAATATTACAATTTCAGCACAGGTGTCAATGGCGCTCGTACAGTTAGTAGTGATATCAGCAATCACATTCCTATTCTTTTATATTTTGTGGTCGTGGCACTGCCGTAACAAAACCAATTGAAGTGTGCTTGTTTTCGGGACATATCCGAACGCAATTTATAAAAAAAAAAGGGCCGAAATTGTAAGGAGTGAATGGGCCCAGTTTATTATATAAAAAAAAACATACCTAGATCAGGCTTATAACAAGAGTTATTCAAATCTTCAGCACTTTTGTAGTCGTGTGTGAAGTGTAGCGAACCTTCTGGCCGTGCGCCATTGGAGGGCGGTGTGGAGATGACGGGGCATGAATAAAAGTTAGTGGCTGTGTTTGAGACGTCTCGTGTTTGTCCCCTCTTTTTGTAGCCTCCATCTGAAGTTTTAGAAATGTTTAACTTTAACCAGCTCGCCTGCCTTATTAATATTTATAGTTCGAATCTTCCTTGGCTAACACAGACAGTTTCTAAAAATACTCGGAAGCCTAGGATCACACCTCTGCTCCTCAAACTGGAAAGAAAAGGAAGTATAACGTTTTGAGTTTTCTATAAACCGATTGTCTTCGAGCAATTACGTAACCGCCTGATATCCAAGTTGCCAAAAGCGAAATTGGAGTATCACACCCAGCTCTTTAACCGACATCGCGAAAAAGCGACCAGAAGTAGTTTAGAAACCCATAAATAAAGTGTTCCACCGCCGTAGACAGCATAAAGCGATTGACGAGTCTACTGTCAATGTAAACAAGGAGGCGCCTTGGGTATTCCTAGCAGAGTACTTCAATGAATAATAATAATAATAATGTTTATTGCATGTAAAGTACACAAACAAATACTGACCTGCCAAAGCCTCATTGGGCTTGTCTGGCAGCGTCTGGCAGCCGGCAAACGAACCACACACAAATAGAGTACATAAAAAAATAAAAAACAAAGCGAAATCAACACTGAAACCAAAAGACAACCAAAGTGGGGGGGAGAGGTTATACAGTAATGTTTCTCAGCGCTTTCTTCAGTTTGTACTTTGTTGTGGCATCAATAACACACGACGGGAGTTTATTAAAGCATGCTGGAACATAATACAATCGGGTTCGTTTACCATATCTTGTAGAACTCCAAGGTGTCCAATATCGCTCTTTCGGTCTGAGATTACGGGCAGGGACGTAGGGAGTCTTAAAACTGCTATCCCAGAAATGTCTATGCACGACACTTTCAATGAATAATGAGTTAAAATTTGGCATAGATAGAGTCGCGAACACATCAATGTTGTTATCGAGGCCTAAGTCATAGGAAATGTTGTGTAACATAGAACGTAGTATTGTGTTAATTCTGGTTTGCCAACGTTGGGCACAATGACCGTACACAGATATGCCATAACGAAGTACACTGTAGCCCAGAGCATGTATAATAACTTTTCGGACTGATAACGGCATATAGTATCGAATTTTGTACATCAGACAACACACTGAACGAATCTTCTTACAAATATAAGCAAGGTGGGAGTTCCAGGAAAGATCACCGTCGAAAAAAATACCAAGATACTTCACAGTTGATGTATATTTTACCGGCTCACAAGCACACGATAAACAATTGGACGCATGTAACAGTAAAGGATAGCTGGGTCTAACTTTTTTTAAGGGGTTATGAAAACAGATGAGCTGCGTTTTCGAAGCATTAACAATAATTAAATTAGCTGCAAACCAGTCCATAGTTTTATTCGCAGCAGCTTGCAGAGAAGAAATTGCGTCTGAATAATTGGTAGCTCTGGATAAAATAACCGTATCGTCAGCATATTGAAATAACGAAACTGGCACAGCGTTGTGGAGGTCATTAACATAAATATTGAACAGTAATGGGCTCAAAACTGACCCCTGCGGTACACCAGATTTGATTGACGAAAATGTGCTCTGAAAACGCCCAACTGAAACACACTGTCGTCGATCGCTTAGGAAGTTTTCTAGGAGTACTAAAAAGGGGCCACGAAATCCTAATTTGGAAAGTTTCATTAGCAAAAGTCGATGGCATACGCTGTCAAATGCTTTGCTGACGTCCAAGAACAGTGCGCAAGCAACCTGATTGCGTTCAAAAGTTGAATTCAGTATATCAGAAAAACCCTCTAGAAGCGTCTGTGTCCCTCGACCTTGAATGAAACCATACTGATGAGGTGAAAGAATACTGTGCTTGTCTAAAAAACTTTCCATAGAAATATACAAATGTTTCTCCAACACCTTACTAATACAAGGCAAAATTGAAATAGGTCGGTAATTTTCTATGTTTTTACGCGCACCACCCTTAAACAGCGGAGTAACCACCGCAGTTTTCATTTGTATCGGAATGATTCCAGTTAAGATAACGTTGTTCAAAAGCGAAAGGAGCACATGCCTAAGTACGTCAAAATGTCTGCGTAACTCATTAATTGAGATGCCATCAATGCCCGGAGCCTTGTTAGGCTTGAGGCTAAAAATAATTGACCTTAGGTCGTTTTGGGACAATAAGGGCAGGAAAGCCGAATCCAACACATTATTTAGCAAAGAGCAGGAGTCTGGGTGTTGTTTAGCGATGCCCGACACCCGGGAAAAAAAAGTTGCTAAAATCATTGGCAACATTTTGCTCATCACAAGAAAAATGCGAAAAAAAAAAAAACAGATTATATCTAGCCGA